GTGCGATGCATGGCTTGCCGTATCGGCAGATTTCGTAGCCAGGAGCAAAAGGGAGCCTTTCTGGGAGCAAGTGCATGAAAAGTTTCACGCACGAGAGCACATTGCGCCCTGCGACATGTACATCATTCAACTACGCAATGTGAACTGGCACGCTATCCAGGTTAGCGTCACCAAGTTATGCGCCGTGGTTCATCAGCTCGAGGCAAGGTGGTCATTGCACGCGGCAGAGGACGAGATCGTAAGTTTTCTTTCTCTTGCTTAACTTGCTGATTGACATTCTCCCAATGTTCGTCTAGATGTTATATGTAGCCCGCACTCCTTGCCAACTTGTTGGATATCCGGGATCTAGTGGAATTTAAGATCTTGTTGTACTACACTTAATTTGCATGCTATGTGTGGATCATTAGTGTTATTTTCTATCCAAACTTTGATGAATATCAGCCGGTTTGCATGAATTTTGTTTGATTTGTTAAAATAGCGGTTGAAATGTATGCGGCTAGCGTTGGATGGTTTTCTCCCGCATTCGTGTCCACGACTGGTTCCTGTCCGCAGACGGACATAAGAGGAAATTTGTGGGTTGGCGATGAAGATGCCCTTATACATCATAACCCCAAAACACGGCACGGACGCACCTGGGTATCAGGGAGCCACATTTCTGAATGTCAAAAAATAAAATAGGAAAGCCACATTTCTTGACTTGAGATACCTTGCTCGAAGGGTAGTGCTGACTCGAGTAAAGACCTCATGGTGACCCCGCAACGTGTCATGTGCACCTTGAGCAAATGGTCCCAACGAGTCCCAAAACCTTGACTGAAAATGCCACGTGCACTCAAATGGAGTTTGAATGGAGGCTTGTCGTCACGGGCGTTTGCAGCCTACTCATACTCGGATGTTTCGAGTGGCACTTGAAGAAAACAATGAGTGTCTAGTTGATCGCAAGATAAAAGGTTCTTAAAAATATTTGCTCGCAGTCATTGTTCAGGAAGGAACTAGCAGAGTTTCAAGGTATTCAAGATGTTCATACATGCTGTGGTTGCTCGTTAAAAAAAATTAAGAAATTGATTCTGCTGCCACACGAAACAACCACAGCTCCAGTGCCAAGGAGGATAGGTAGGTAGATAGATCTGTGTTGTCACATCCCTAGTCTGGTATGACTTAGACTAGCTAGCCATTTGTGCATCATATTTAAATTTCATTTAAACTTGAAATGAGGATTGGTGGAACCCTCAGAATCATTTTTGAAAATGACCCAAATAAAAATTTCTCCAAAAGGGTCCAAGAAAATGCTCATGTTGCCCTCTGAAAATATTAGACAGAGATAAAAATCAAAACAATATTTTTAGGAGCTCATGGATATTTATTTTGGCCATTTGGATTAATTCGATAAATATTTGCATTGGAAATATATTTCTATATATATGAAATATGGTCCAAAAATTATGCCATTTATAAAGGAGCTCTGAAATAATATATCTAGCTCCTGCAAAAATTGGCATAAGGTGATAAAATGATTTAATATTTTTTAATTAAATCAAAACAAATGTCAGAAATTAGAAAACAGAAATAAATAAAAGAGGGGAACCTTACCTGGGGCTCCCCCCCCTGTGCAGCCCAGCCGCAGCAGGCCGGCCCAGCCAGCAGGCGGCCCAGCCCACCTGCCCCCCCCTCCTCTGTCGTCTTCCTCCCCGACAGGGGGACGGTGCGTGCCCGACGCGCGCGCACCGCCGCGCCGCGCCACCTCCTCCCTCCCTGCCTGCCTGTCCTCCCCTCGTCGTTCTGGATGGACCGGACGACGCCACGCGACGCCCCGC